TTCAAAGCTACCCCTGCTTGTAATTTTATTTTGGAAGACAAGGACAGAAAAAATCTTTAATTTCTTTACCATTCTATCTCCAATGTTTCCCCAATCTCATAGTTATCACCTCTGTAAAATTCAACCTAATATACATTGGTGACTTGTATATGTCCATATATATATATATATATATATATATATATTTTTAAAACACATTATTCTTTGTCTTTCTATCCATTCAATTGAAAATTGTAAGCATGTCCATTAATCTAACCCTTTCCTTCATCTTTGCCCATCCAAAAGTGCTTATAAAACTAAAATTTCATACCTCAATGGCCTAGAAATCACAAACCAACTAGTGTTTCTCATTGTAGCAAGTATACAAATTTTTAAGAAGTGAATTTTGGGTGGCCCAACTAACAAATTAGTCAATCAAAACTTTGGCTATAAATGTTTTACAGTTAATCAAATTTTGGCCTTAGATTGTTTCTAACATTCATCTAGTCTTAGTTGATCAAAATTTTATATAATGTTTTTGCAAATGTTAAGAGGAAATGTTGCACTAATTAATCATGTAAATAATCTTACCCACTATGGCTTCAGATCATACATCAAACAAAAATGGTTGATGTTATTAGGTACTCTTTGGGACTTCTATGTGGATTCGGGTACATTCAGAAGTGGGACAAAAATGCATTGGACTATTCGAAAATGCTAGTGGACATCCTTTTTCTCTATGCGAGTAAAACCTGCTTTTGTAGAAAGCGGTTAAGATTTTTTATATATTCTAAAACGATAAACAGACATAAATGCTATGGACTTCGCCTTACAGAGCGCCGGACATGGCCAAACTAAAGTACTAAAAGCATCCACTAGACTAAGAAGATACAAAAGAAGATAGAACTCTGGCCGCTAGAGCCTAGCGTATGTAACATCGGATGCCCCCTTCCATCTCCATATCTCTAGCCTTCTCCACAAAACGTTCAATCCATTTCTTCATTGGCGTCATCGGACTTGCCATCAAGGTAATTGCATTCACCTTTCTTTTAACAGAATACAACACATTTGCAAGCATCAAACTATGAAGAAAAATTCAAAGGGTGTTTTAGGATTTTTTTCTAGCACCGATTTTATTTCTCATGGTCCACATTTCCTAGATGAAAATTGCAAATAAATAAATAAATAAATGGTCTCATATCATAGTGACCACACTCCAAAGAAACCACCTTGAAAAAGATCTTATCAACTAATAAAAATTCTCCCCCACTCCGGTGCTTCTTTAATACTGGTCCACATCACCCAAGACATAATCCGTTGAGAGAAAACATGATCAACCATTCTAGAACCCCACACAAAATTACAATAAGTATTACATCCCTATTTCTTTTTTTCAAAGCTACCCCTGCTTGTATTTTTATTTTTGAAGCAAATAAGAAACTCTTTAGTTTGTCTACCATTATATATCCTCCAATGTTTCCCCTATCTCATAGTTATCGCCACTATAAAAGTCAATATATTATACATTGGCAAGTTGTATATCTCAATATTTGTTTTTAAAAAATAAAACATATGGTTTATCTTCCTATCCATTCAACTAAAAATTGTAGGCAACCATTGGTCTAACCCTTTCCTTCATCTTTCCCCATCTAAAAGTGCTTTTAAAACTTCATTCCTCATTGACTTAGAAATCACAAACCAACTAGCCTTTCTCATTACAACAATTATATAATTCTAGACAAGTGGATTTTGGGTTGCCTAATTAACTGTTAGTCAATCAAAGTTTTGGCTATAATTTTTTAATAGCATTCATCTAATTTTAGTTGATCAAAATTTTATATCACATTTTGGCAACATTAAGAGGAAATACCACACTCATTAATTATGTAAATAATCTTACCCACTAGGCTCAGATCATACATCTAAACAAGAATAGTTGATGTTATTAACTCCTATTTGGGATTTCTATGTGGACTCAGGTACATTCAGAAGTGGGACAAAAAAAGTACTGTACTATTAAAAAATGCTAGTGTACATCTTTTTCTTTATGTAGGCAAAACCTGCTTTTGTAGAAAGTAGTTAAGATTTTTATTATATTCTAAAACAACAAACAGACATAAATGCTATGGATTTCACCTTAAAATAAGAGCGTTGGACATGGCCAAACTAAAGTACTCAAAGCATATAGGACCTCCACTAGACTAAGAAGATACAAAAGATACAACTCTAGCCACTAGAGTCTAGCCAGATCACATAACATCGGATGCCCCCTTCCATCTCCATATCTCTAGCCTTCTCAACAAAACCTTCAATCCATTTCTTCATTGGCGTCATATTGCCACCAAGATAATTACATGCTGCTTTCTTTAACAGAATACAACACTTCTATAGACATCAAACCATAAAGAAACTTTAAAGGATGTTTTAGGAAATTTCTTCTCTATCACAAATTTTGTTTCTCATGGTCCACATTGCCTAGATCAAAATTGCAAAAATGAAAAGTCTGGTACCATAGTGACCACACTTCAAAGAAATCACCTCGAAAAAGATCTTGTCAACTGATAAACATTCTGTCCCACTCTAATAGTGCTCCATCCATCCAAAATTATAAGACATTTTGCCTTTTATAGATACATTTCTCCTGTATATACCGTGTAAAGAATATCTAGTCTATAGTATGTGTTATTAGAAAAAAAAACTAATGGCCGGGTCTTCTGCTAGTGCAAGTTGAGAGATACCAGGGGCGTGTTTGGTAGGCGGCCTGAAGGCAGCCAGGCCCGCAAGCCAGGCCTAGACCAGCCACAGCCTGGCTGACTCGGTGCAAGGCCCCTTGTTTGGTGGCCTATACCAAACTGACCAGGCCCACAGAAGATTGTGTTTGATTCCACAGCTGGGAGCCAGGCCCAAGGCCAACTACCACCAACTACCAATCTGGGATCTTGTTTGATCCCCAAACAGGCCAGCAACCATGGAGAGCAGCCAACAGAAATCAACAGATAGGAGATAGATAAGAGTAATGCAACATCACATAACCCACAAGCCTCAGACTAATTAGGTAAAGAAGCATGGAGTCATAGCTGCTCTAACTTTACAAAAGTACCAATGAAGCAAGGCAAAATAACAACATCAGCAGCCTAATCAGTAATCAACACTCCTTGAACAACACAAAGGAGATAGGTAATAGAAATAGAAGACAGAAATCAGTAAGACACAGCAGCAGCTCATCCATCATATAGTTGTAGTCATCACAGGCCTAAGTGGGGCAGTCGTAGCTGCCAGTTTTGCCCCCCTTCATCCATAGTCCAACCACCAAGATAACAAGTGAGGTGATTAACACCTTCTTCCACCAACCAGCCTTACCATTACCATCAGAAGGAGGAATGGTTGGAGCAAAAGCATCATGAGTGACAAGATCATAGGGGGGAGGTGCTGCTCCATGAGATGGATGTACATCTCTCATGGCTGCCTAAAAATCTCTAACAGCCTACTCATAGTTGCTATACTTCTTGTATGTAGCATTTCTCACCCCAAGAACATGCTTACTGCACTCCTGCCAACTTAGATAAATCCTAGGAGCCTTCCCATTGAAAACAACATAGTGCGCTGCCATTTCTGTGAAATGAAACAGTGGTTTAGCCTCAGTCAAATGTAAAGCATGAAACTAGCCATGAGTGTGGAACTTGAAGATCTACAGTTTACGGTGAAAAAAATCGTTGATCTTAAGTCCCCCACTGATGACCAGCATCATCAAGTTCATATGTAAGAGAATTGACATCACATGCATTGTAATAAAAGGTTGGCCTCAGCTTTAGAATGTGGTAGTGTTCTTTCAGTTCAAATCATTGGTGGCTACCATAGAAAATAAAAACCAGTAGTGCAGCAAATCCAAGCTCATGGCTGCCATAGAATCCATGTGCACATCCATACACTGCCATCAGCACAAGAAAGAAGGGGCTATTGCTAGGGTATGGATGTGTCACATGGATGTGATGACATACATGATAAATCAGAATAATCAAGTAAACAGGGCAGGCACCAAACAAGTACAAATCCAGGGTCATGATTACCATCGAACCCTATTGTGCACATCCATTCACTGTCATCAGCATAAGATACAAGTTGTTGTTGATAAGTGAATGGATGGGCACACATAGGGTTCCATGGTAGTGATGAAAAACATGAAGAACCAATTAAACAAGGTAGCTACTTCATGAATATGTTGTTTGTATCATAGGCCTTATAGATTTCCCATAGTTACCACCAATCAAAAGAAACAAAACCAACAGGTCATAAGTAACAGACATAAGCTTTGGCCATGGGACACAGCCATGTAACAGTAGCATCATCATTCATCTATGCTGCTACCACTGTATGGCTTAGTTTCATGGCCAAAGACAAGGTAACAGTGACAAATGATGTAGTAAATGGAGCCAAAAGAACAGAATCCAACATAAATAAAAGAAACCATGAACAATAACAAATAGAGTAGCCAACAGAGGCCACTAATAGTGCATTACAGATACCAGTAGAGCCTCATACATGTAGGCTCAAATAAGGTCCATCTTGCTTAATGTTACCTATAGTCAGCCACCCTCCAACTACACTAACCCAAAAGGACAGGTGTGAATCAGCCAACTAAGCTGCACAAAAGCTACACCTCGGTGTGTACAAAAGGTAAGAGAGTGGGTGAGGGAGGTGGAGGAACTATACATCTCAACAGTCAACCCCCTCTTTGCCTTGCAGTCCTAATTAGACAGAACTACATATAGTAGTTCTTGGCAAGGTAGTTCCTCAGCCAAATGTCCCTATGGCTAATTGCCTTCTTCGCAAAGCCTGTGGCAATGGCCTTGTTTTCTAGCAGGTAGGTATAGGCAACAATGAGGGCTTCAGTGGTGAAGCTCTACATCTCCATGACTGCAAGATAGATGTCAAGATCTACATGTGCAGCACCTGTCTCCCTAAGTGCATTAGCAACATTGTTGATAGCATCAAACATGTTGATCAGTAAGAGCATCTCATCCTCAATGAAGTTCCCTCTCTTCCTCTTCCCACCCATAGTAGAATGCAGCTGCTTTGTGGCCTTGCTGCCTGCCCTCACCAACCTTAGTGTTGGTCTTCTCCTTAGGGACATGGTGGAAGGCAAAGCCCTCAACCTTAGCAACTGTACTATCAGCCTGGTTGACCCCAAGGGCCTCACCAGAACCAAGTGCATACCTACCAGTGGCCATAGAATGCCCAAATATGGTCTCCATCTCAGAGTAGAATCTCATAGGATAGTTAAGGAACTCTACATCCTTAGGGTGGTCCTACAGTAGGGGATACAATTGTAGATGAGATAAGACAAGTAAGATAGGTAAGATATAGTGGCATGATTAGTAACTCAAGTGTTCTACCTTGCAGTGGCCTAGGTAGTGCTCCCCATCAAGCATGATTGCATTCACATCCTTGTCCCACAAGGCACCACTAAGATCTTTCAGCTTATAGATCCTAGACCACTTTTACCTCCACTTCATTAGGTGGTTGTATACCTTAGTTGGGCTCACTGCATCCCCACTGTAGTCCTTAAGACACTTGGCTACAAGGTTAACATCCTTGTCCATGAACACCTTGTTAGGCCTAGTGCCATCACTAAGCAACTGAGCCATCCTCCTAAGCACAAACCCAGAGGTGTTGTTGTTCCACCTCATGGGCCCACTAGCTGGTGCTACAGCAACTGCAACATCAGCAGCAAGAGTTGCTTTAGCCCCAACAACCTCAGCTATGACCTCAACAGCTGCCATAAACCCACCCTCAATAGGCAGCACATCAACAAGAGCTAAAGCCATCCTATTTAGTTAACCAATGAAACATTAACATAGTATGGATGTCTCTCATGGTCACAACTTTGACAAGAAATCCATAACCAGCAATAGAGTATCCATAAAGCCATAACAGTAACAATAGTATACAGTATTGAAGCTCATTGGTCTCAGCCTTGTCCAATAATTATTACAACAGAAGTACACAAAACCACATGTTCCATACCAAGGTCAACAAACTAAGTTATACAAGAATAAACATGCATGAATTAGGTCCTAGAGGTACCCCTACCCTCCCACATTATAGTACTGATGGCATTCCTCCTAGTGGACATGACATTAGAGTCTTGAGACAGCAGCTCATGGACAGACTAAGAATCAGGCTAGTTTGGTGGCAACCTGTCCTCTGGTGGCACTACTTGGTCCATGCCAAAGCCTAGAATCCAGTTGTGAAGAATGCAATAGGCTAGCACAAGTTTGACCTGTGTCTTGTAAGGGTGGAATGGTTTGTTGTCTAGAATACGAAACATGTTCTTCAAAGCCCCAAAAGCCCTCTCAACTATGACCCTAAGTGAGGAGTGTCTCAAGTTGAACAATTCCCTTGCATTGGTTGGGTGGTTTCTACGGCCATACTCAGACAGATGGTACCTCACCCCCCTGTAGGGAGGGAGGAAGCCACTGCGGCAGGCATACCCTACATCTACAAGGTAGAATTTACCTACAAGTGCACCAAAGATGCTCTTGGTGAATGTGTATCACATGGTAAGGACATAAGTTCAGTGGACAGTTGGTTTTAGTTACCTTCAGGCACAATGAACCCATCATTTCTCTCAATGGCATTAGCAAGGATGAGGGCATCATGTGCTGAGCTCTCCCATCCAGCCAGTACATAAGTGAACTTGAGGTCAAAGTCCACAGCAACCATCATATTTTGTGTGGGGTTTGATTTCCTACCCCTGAAAGCCTGCTGCATGTGTCTAGGTACCCTTGCCAACACATGGGTGCCATCAATGGCACCAATACAGTCCTAAAAAAGTTGTAAGTGGGATAAGTGCATTGGTTGACACCTACAGTGAGTTATGGCTTAACAGTTAAAGTGACAGATACCTACATGCAAGGGTTCCATCTATGGCTCCTGGCACCCAAGGATCTTTGGATGTATGCTAGGTGTAGGAGGCTTAATCATTTCACTTCTAAGCTCACCAACAACATACAAAACCTGGTGGAAGTGCCTATGGACAGTCTCAATTGACCTCCTAAAGGATTGGTGAACCACACTAAATCTTTGGTTGTGTCCAACTACATGGAGGAACATAGCAACCTACTCCTCAACTGTGCACCCAACCTTTTCTAGTACAAGCCCCCTATCTCTAAATAGGTTACACAAAGCATAAAAAGGAGCTTTGGTCATCCTTAACATGGACAGACACTCTGAATTTGTGGAGTTGTAAATGGCTTGCAGGGTCTGCTTCCTATGCTGCTTAGCATCACTCCTAAGATGATACAACAGTGGGTCTGGTTCAGGCCTAGACCTCCTAAGCCTAGTGACAACCTAAGACACCATAACAACTACCAAGGTAGTAGCTTGATTGGCCATCAGCTCATGATTTTGGGCTGGATCCATCTACATGCATGAACATTCAAGACAAACATAGTTCAATTGACCCTGGCTAGCCTCAACATGGATGTGTAATCATTCAACAACAACAGTAGGCATGGCTGCATGATAGAACATGCCTCCCAGTGCAATGGACATCATCATTGATCATAATAACAGGTAAACAAACAACATGAAACCATAATGAAGTAAGAACAGTATTAACAGTTCAAGGCAAACCCTAAATCCAACATCGCATAACAAAGCAACCAGCACCAAAAGCTCAGATAAGCCACAAAGACGTGCATGTACAAGTACAATGAAACCCTAGCATCATCCAAATCAAAGAGTAGGTCCATTGGGGGTGTTTCACCTCGGGGTGGTCGACGAAGCAAACGCGAAGCGAACAACGGAGAAGAAGAAGATGAGGCGACGAAGAAGAAGCAGATCCCGATGGAGAGAAAGCAGATCCGGTACACAGCACTACCACGCGCACCACTGAAACTGAGGAAGACGAAGGAAGAAGACGACCGCCTCCCAGAGTCCTAGCTAGGAGCAAGGTGCGGTGCCGCGAACGACCAAATCCGAGCCGGGGGAACGGAGAGGAAGCCCACCGGAGAAGAACGATGCCTCGTCAGACACCACACCTCTACACACCGCTGGTCTCTTAGGGATTTGGTGGAGAAGCAATGGAGACGAAGGAGGGGAGCTCAAAGGAGGGAAGAGCCGCTTATAAAGGCGGCAGATTTCACCGGTAGCGGAAGCGCGCGTGGAGGTTTCACACTTCCCGCGCGAGCCAGCCGTCGTCGCCAGGAATCGCCCCAAATGGCCCGAGAGGAGCTGCGTGCGGCAATGCCGTAGAAAAACAAAGGGGGAGGAGCGTTTCCCTAGAGCTAGGCCGAGGGGACCGAAATGCATCCGGGGAGCCAGGCTAGGAGACGGCTCATGGACATCATACATGTGCTCTGTAGCTGGGGGATGCAGCTAGGCCGATGGGCTAATGCTCCAGACACGCCCCAGCAGACCGGGTCCTACTCCTTTCTCATGCCAAGGAAAGGAACCGCTGTTGGAAGGGTCCCCCTCCCCGTCGTCGGTTGGAGCGCTGTGAATGATTACTATCTTCCCTGGAGGCCGGGACCAACCTCTCAGCCTAGCTTCTGGTAGGCCACGCCCCAACAAGACACCGACCGCCGATCGATCATGCCACGGCCACTGCCGTTGCCGTCAACCGTGAGCCCGTGAGGATGTGTGGGCATGGGGGACGGTCCCTGCCTCCCTGCCTGCTGCTAGCCTGCCAGTGCTAGTGGGGGTGGCTACCCGGACGATGATGGGCGTTTAGTCCAGCCAAGCCACTGACCTCTGAGCATGCGCACGTGTAGTGTAGGCCTGCCCTGCAGCATGCGAGCGAAATCAACCCTTGTTTAGTTCCCACCCAAAACTTTATATCCTGTCACATCGAATGTTTGGAGACATGGAGTATTAAATATAGGCTAAAAATTAACTAATTGCACAGTTTGCGACTAATTGGCGAGATGAATCTTTTTAACCTAATTAGTCCACAATTTGATGATAAAGTGCTACAGTAACATATGCGCTGATGATGGATTAATTAGGCTTAATAAATTCGTCTCGTGGTTTACTGACGGATTCGGTAATTTATTTTTTTATTAGTATCCGAACACCATATGCGACACCCCCATGTAACATCCGATGTGACACTCCAAAATTTTACAGACTGAATCTAAACAATGCCTCACTTTTCTCGGGCAGTGACGTTCTCCTGGGAGGGCCACGCATCGCCATCCAAGCATCCACTGCTCTTCACAAATTCACCATCATGCCATCCTCAACAGCAGCTGAGCGCGCGACTTGTTTTTATATTTTTTGGCCCTTTTTTTAAAAAGTTTTTCACAAATATGTCCCTGGAGGTATGCTTTCAAAATCTAGACCCTTAGCTCGACGCCATCGTTGGTGGCGCCGAGCTTACAAGTCTCGGCGCCAAAGGGTTTGGCGCCTAGGTCAGGGCCACGTTGGCGGCATGAACGCTGACCTGGCCGGCAGCACAGCGCCGGGGTTATTGGCACCAAGCTTGGCGCCGTGGTTATTGGCACCGATGTGGTAGGCAACACCAAGAGGAGACTTTTGTTCTGATGATCACGCTCTCGGCGTGCTCAGCACCTCTGTTCTCACGAGTGCCGTGCTCTGCTGGTTCGTACTGCGGCGGAGGGGACTACCACTAGCGGAGCTGGAATAGGGGGAGGCCACGCAGTTCCCATGACATCGGGCATCGGGGGTTTCGCCCACTGTCAGGTGACAGCTTCCACGAGCGCCAACTGATCGGCATGGGGGGTTTTGGCAACATGTACCGTGGTTCGCCGTGAAGCGCGCCGCGCGCTCCTCGTGGCAGGTGCTTCTTCCCTGACTTTCGGACGGGGATCGCGGTGCTATCTCGCATCCGGCACCGGAGCCACCTGTACGACTCAGGGTCCGAGGAGCCACCGGTGTTGTGGACGCAGTGGTCGGAGTTTTGCATCGGCGCGGCGAGGGGCCTGCACACCGGGCTACCCCGAGAATCATCCACCAACATCCTCCTCGGCGACGACTACATCGCCAATGTGGCCGACTTCGGGCTATCGCGCATCGACCGGCCGTTCGGCGTGGTGCCGGTGATCGAGCTGGGCCAAGATCGGATCAACAACCACCTCGCCGAGTGGGTCGTGGAGTCTGCCAGTCCCGGACGAGCATTCAAATCACAGGCAATTGTTCTAAAAAAGAAAACTTCTACTCACCGGTGGCCAATGTGTGCTTGCTGTCATCTCTTAAATCTGAGTGGCCAATGTGTGCTTGCAGTCTTCTCTTAAATCTGAGCTATGTTCTACAGCACTGTCAATATCACTAGCACAGTTGCACTAACTTAAAAGTGCAATTTTCGTACTCAAACTATTACATACCTCTAAGAAATAATACCAATCAATCATATTGTTTTCGGGCATAGATTATCATATCGTTATTTCCATGCAAATTGATGATACATGCTCCTATGATATAAAGGCCTAGTCATACTGGACCACACACTGCTGCAGAGCACAAAATTACAAAGAGAATGAGAGAGAAAAAAAAAATCAAAGTACACTTATTTCAAAACCACCTTAACATAAAAAAATAGTAACAGATTAAAAGTGGCTCCTTATTTTAGTTTTTATAGTTGAGAACTTGAAATACAAAGTACGCTACATATTTTCAAAACCTTATATATATGCACCTTGCCTGATTGTTTGCCAAGTTTATTTTTTGGCGACTGGGATGACTATTTCACTAAGCCTGGTGCTGATATGATCTAACATATTTTTGTTTACCTCATATTCCTATGTTTAAGATAATGGGTAGAATGGATGTTACGTCACGTTGGCTATTGTAAATCAGACAACTG